AAGCAGGAAACTTATTCTTAATTTTCAGTGACACACTCAGATGGGCATAAAGCGGTAAAGTTGAAAATTACAGAAGTCTATTTTCCACAAAACTCTGAAAAGGCAAATCTCAATTCTTCATGCTTAGGCTCCATGGAGATTTTATGCATAATCAGAATCCGTTTCTATTCAACTAACTCCATGTAAACATCCCTCAACATTGTAGGAAGGAATATATTCCCATAAGAAGTAATTAATAACCAAGGAACCCCCACCAGACTGGACTTGAAGTAGAGTGGCTTCTGAGGGACACAGAGCTTGCGGGAAGGAAGAGGTCCACATTACTTAAAGTTGGTAATACTGGTGCGGGGGCGGGGGGAGTGATAAAGGCCAAAGCTGGGCACCCACTCTCCCAGACACTCTCCCTTAGTCTTGCTTTGGTTTCATCCTTTCCACCTCCAGATGTTGCAAGGCCCTCCCACAGCGACTCCTTCTGCCAGCCATACATTGGAAGCATGTCTACTGGGCTTCCAGTGAGGGACCCAGGTCCCGCTATTTTATTAGCTTATCTCCTTATGATTTCATTGACCCACTGACTTTTCCACATTGTGAAACTGGCCAGTGTCTCTCCTGACTCACCATTAATAGCAGCCAAGCTATTAATGTGGATGTTCGTAGGTGCCAAGTTTTGTGCTAAGCACACTTGTACGACTGAACCCCCCCACAGCAGCCCTATGAGGGGGGCAGGAGTATGATCCCCACTCTACACATGAAGAGACAAGGTTCAGAAAAGTTAAGTGACAGCTAAGGCTTGAACCCAGAGCTGTTTGTCACCAAAGCCTACGTCCTACCGCTTACCGAGAACACAAACGTGTCTGACCCCGAATGCTCCCAGGCAGTTCCTACTGGTCACAGTCGGCCGTGACTGCCTACACGTCATCCCAAACTTGAGAGCCTACATGTAGTGTAGGAGGTGGTAGGCAGGTCTCTAATGTTACATGGTCACCTCCTGATCCCGAAACCTTTCATGATGGAAATCCCCAACCAGACAGCCAACAGGGGGAGCTTGCTTCACGTCAGGTACAAATCAGCCTGTAAGAAATGCTTTGCAAAGATGATTCCCTTCGACCTAATAGCCATAATCCTTTGTTTTCCCTTTTCTTTCCCCAACACTTAGCACTGCTGATAAGGAGAATCTAACTGTACTATAATCTTACATTGCACTATTCGTTGTTGATGAAATGAGAAAACAAGAATCCCAAACTCTTGTTAAACTTCCACGTTCACTGTTTTTCACAGGGAAGGTTTGCTAAGGGCGTGGCAAGCAAGGGTGGACACACACCCTGACCCGGGCAGGTGCCCCAGAGTGCCAACCCCGTGCCCTGGTGCTGTTGGTACCACATTACCTGCTACCACTGTAGTCTGCAGAGGTCTGCAGTCTGAATTCTTTGAAACAAGGCCCAGCGGTGGCTTGTGTTTTAGAAATAAAATACAGGAGGAGTGAAAAGTCAAATGTCAGGCAGAATCATGGAGGCTCGTCTGCAGGGAGGTAGTTGGCTAGTGGAGTGCTAGCTGGTGGCATGAAAAATGGAAAGAATAAGGCTTTGTCTTGCGGTGTGACAAGCAGTAAGTAGGCCAGGTAGAGGGGGGGCCAAATGCCAGAAGCCAAATAAATTTCAAAGACCAGTATGAGGAGCCCTGAACCTGCCTTCCCGTATTTTTGGCTACAAAGATGAAGCAATAAGGAGAAAGGCCACAGTCTCTGAGATTCACGGTGGTGCCACTGTAAGTACCCAGGACTCAGGAAGCAGAATGTGTGTGCAACAAGAACTAGAACTATTCGAGAGAACCTTCCTGGATATTGGAAAACAGGAAAGTTACCCAATTCCTAGATTCTCTAGAGGGTAAAGCCACTAGATCGGTCTCAAAGGTAGGATGAGATTTATCCATCCCAAAGAAGAGTCAAGGTGATTTATTTCCATAATAAAAAAGTACTTTGAAAGATGTCTTTGTTTTACCAAAATACAGATACAACCAGCAAAGTATCTGTGACAGCTGTGAAAACATTCAGTTGCCAATGAAGGTATTTTTCTCTTTTTCACCACAGCTGTTCAGTTGAGAGCAGGGTTTGTTTTCTTCTGCCGCTAAGCTTCCAAAACAAAAATTCTCGCTCTGAATTACAAAGCACAGTCCTTGAATTTTCTTGAATAGGCTGCCACCATGTGGTGACCACTAAAAAGGCACATAGGTTTTGAGCTTAGTTGGGAGACCACGTTTCTGAGCTGTCTTAATGGGAGAGTTACATTGATTAGATCCAGCTGCCGCTCAAATATTACACTTCTCTGTCGTTGAGACACCTGCCTTCCCTGGGCAGGACTACAACTGCTCGCATCTGTTCTCATGGCGCAACATGAGAACATGTATTTTTCGATGCTGTTCTGCAGTTACTTTATTGTCTTTAACACACTTTTAATTTAACTTCACTTCGCATGAAATTTGTAAAAATTCATTGCCATTTTTGGAAATTAAAAGCTTTATTAACTGTTCCAGCCATGAAAATGTAAAAGGATGATAGAATGCACCTGGACACCCAGCCCACTGCCCAGAAAAAAGGCATGACCAATACTAGTAATCCTTTCCACCTACATCCACATCTTTGTCCTGGTAAATGGTTTCCTGATTTGGTTCAAGGACCATACATTTCTTTAGTCTTTTACTTTATATATGTAGCCCTAAAGCATAGATATATATGGTATTGCTTTTAGACCTTAAATAAATGGTGTCACATGCAATATACCCTTTCGCAAATGTTTTTTTTCCAGCAGTACTATATTAAAAGATTCTTTCACATTGATATTTACAGCTCAAGATCTCTCCAACATTGTCTTGTTTTTGCCCTTCTACCTCTGTGTAAATTCTATTTTATTTTTTAAAGATTTTATTTATTTATTTAACAGAGAGAGAGAGAGAGCACAAGCAGGGGCAGACGCTTAACCGACGGAGCCACCCAGGCACCCCTTCTGTTAAATTTTAGAATCAGTTTGTCAAACTCTCCAAAACAATAAAAGTCAGGACTTTGACTCAAATTTATAGATTGATTTGGGCAGAATCAGTATCTTTAAGATATTGAGTCCTTTTTTTTTAAACAAGGCCAAGTCTCTTTATTGCAAAGCCACCAACATACTGCCATGTTCGCTTCTCTTGAAATTGAGTCCTCTTATCCATGAACATGGTATCTCTGTTTTTGAGTCTTCTTAATGACCTTCATCAAAATTACATTTCTTTCAAAAGATCAGAAATAACTTCTGTTAAATATATTCCTAAGGGCCTTATATTCTCATTGCTATTATAAACTCTAATTTAAAAATTAATTTAAAAAAATTAATAAAAAAATTATAGGGAGCCTGGGTGGCACAGTTGGTTGAGCTCAGGTCGAGGTTTCCAGGTTGTGAGATCGAACCTGAGCCCCGAGTCAGGCTCTGTACTCAGTGCAGAGTCTGTTTAGGACTTTCTCTCCCTCTCCCTCTACTACTCACACGTGTGCTCTCTTTCTCTCAAAGAAATAAATCTTTAAAAAATAATTAATCTTTTAACTATGGGTGTGGTGTTTAGAAATGCATTCGGTTTTTGCATGTTGATCTTATATCCAAGAACCCAAGTGAATTCTTACTCATTCTCATATTTTTTTAGATTCTTTTGAGTTTTTTTTTTTTTAAAGATTTTATTTATTTATTTGCGAGAGAGAACGAGAAACAGCACGAGAGGGAGGAGGGTCAGAGGGAGAAGCAGACTCCCCGCTGAGCAGGGAGCCTGATGTGGGACTCAATCCCGGGACTCCTGGATCATGACCTGAGCCGAAGGCAGTCGCTTAACCGACTGAGCCACCCAGGCGCCCTAGATTCTTTTGAGTTTTTAATGTAGGTAATGGTATCATCTAGGATTGATGACAATCTGGTGTCTTCCTTTCCAATCATTACAAATTCTCGCTTTCTTCACATTATGGCACTGTCTAGTAATTCCCATACAGAGCTGATTAGGAGTACTGATAACAGGCACCCTTATATCTTTCCAAATTTTAAAAGAAATGTATCTAATATTTCATTATTAAATGAAATACTTGCTCTAACTTTTTATAGATATTTACTGGGTTAAGGAATTCCTTTAATTTCCTAGACTAAGAGGTTTTTTAGGAAAAAAATCATAAAGGATTTTATCAAATGACTTTTCTGTATCTATGATGGTGACAGCATAGTTTTTAATCTGATAATGTTGTGAATTATGTCAGTAGATTTTAATGGAATTTTCTGATATTAAACCATGCTTGCAATCCTATGATGACCCAAACCTGGTGCTGGATTTGGTTTGCTAACATTCTGATAATGATTATTTTATCTATGTTCACAGATGGAATGAGTCTGTAATTGTCCTTAAGCATCCTGTCCTCTGGTTTGAACACTCATAAAATGGGTTAGAAAGTGTTCTTTTTCTATTCTTTGGAGAAAAGATTATGATCTGTTTTTTGATGATGGTAGAACTCCTTTTGTTTGCATGTTTGGTGGGTAGACTGATCCAGTATCTTTAATGTATATAAGTCTAATCAATTTTACTTAGATCCATTTTGTAAATTACATTTTTTAGATGTTTTCATTTCATACAAATTTTCAAATTTACCAGTCTAAATAGTTCATAGCCTCCTTTTTAGAAAATAATTTTTGTTCTGCAGTTATGTCCCTTTGTTCATTCCTAACATTGCTGGTGTTCTCTTTTGGTTTTGATTATTTGGGCTAGTGGTGTTTCCATTTTACTAGACTCTTCCAAAAGCCGACTTTTGGCTTAGTTGATAATCTCTGACATATATTTGCTTTCTATTTCATTAATCTCTGCTTTTTATTGTTTTCATCCTTTGAGATTTTCTGCTGTTCTTTCTCTCACTTCTTATGTTCAATGATTAGCCTATACATTTCTAGTCCTTTTCCAATATAAGCACTTAAAATTATGTTTCCCCCATGAAAGATGCTTACCTTGCTTTGAAGTTGAGGTGTTTTCCACTGGGAGCTCATTGTCATGGACCCTCTCCTCTGGAATAGGCATTGCACGGCAGCTTCCAAAGACCCATGGGCTCCTATTACCAAGATCTTCTTTCCATCTAAGTTGACACCTATCCACCAAATGGAAATTCAGTATTATAATCAAAACTTCAGAGCCTTTCTCCCATGCAGCTTTAGCGTTAGGAAAAAGAACCTTTTAAAACTTGGCCCTCTGAGCCAAGTTAGAGCCTATAATGACTATCAGCCATGATTTACTCTTTCTTTGTGAATGTTATGGCTGAGTGACTGAGAATCATCATCCTGATCATTCACAAAATGGAGAAAGTGTCTACATGGCTTATCTCAGCTTAATGGCTAATGTCTTAGAGGTATGTATTAAAAATTAATCTTCTAATGGAACTTTGGTATATATTTTGGAGGAGTTTTTTTACTGAAGTAGAGTTGACACACAATGTTACATTAGTTTCAGGTGTACAACAAAGTGATTCGACTATATGTTGAATCTATATGTCACACTGTGCCCACTATAAGCATAGTACTGTCACATAAACGCTATTTCAATACCACTGACTATATTCCTTTTGCTGTACCTTTTATTCCTATGACTTATTCATTCCATAACTAGAAGCCTGTACTTCCTATGCCCCTTCACCCATTTTGCCCACAAACCCTGCATGGCAACCACCAGTTTGTTCTCTATGTTTATGGGTCTGTTTCTGCCTTTGTTTGTTTTTTAGATTCCACATATAAGTGAAATCATATGATATTTGTCTTTCTCTGACTTATTTCACTTAGCATAATACCCTCTAGGTCCATCCGTGTTGTCACAAATGGCAAAACCGCACTTTTTTTTTTTTTTTTAAGATTTCTTATTTATTTATTTGACAGAGAGAGACACAGCTAGAGAGGGAACACAAGCAGGGGAAGTGGGGGAGGGAGAAGCAGGCTTCCCGCTGAGCAGGGAGCCCGATGTGGGGCTCGATCCCAGGACCCTGGGATCATGACCTGAGCCGAAGGCAGATGCTTAACGACTGAGCCACCCAGGCACCCCAAAACCTCACTTTTTTAAAGCTGAATAATATTCCATTGTATATGTATACCACGTCTTCTCTATCCATTCATCTATCAGTAGATACTTAGCTTGCTTCCATATCTTGGCTATTGTAAATAATGCTGCAGTAAACATAGGGGAGCATGTTATCTCTTGGAATTACTGTTTTCATTTTCTTTGGGTAAACACCCAGGGAGTGGAATTACTGGATCATATGGTATTTCTATTTTTAATTTTTTGAGGAACCTCCATACTGTTTTCCAAAGTGGCTGCACCAGTTTGCAATTCCACCAACAGTGCACGAGGGTTCTTTTTTCTCCCCATCTTCATCAACACTTGTTACTTCTTTTGTTTTTGATTCTAGCCATTCTGATTGGTGTGAGGTGATATCTCATTGTGGTTTTTATTTGCATTTCCCTGATGATGAGTGATATTGAGCACTCTTTCATGTGCTTGTAGGCCATCTGTATGTCTTCTTTGGAAAAATGTCTATTCAGACATTTCTAATATTTTTTTTTAAAGATTTTATTTATTTATTTGACAGGGAGATAGAGAGAGAGCACAAGCAGGGGAAGCGGCAGGCAGAGGGAGAGGGAGAAGCAGGCTCCCCACCGAGCAGGGAGCCGGACATGGGGCTCGATCCCAGGACCCTGGGATCATGACCTGAGCCGAAGGCAGATGCTTAACCGACAGCCAGCCAGGTACCCCAGACATTTCTAATATTTTAATTGGATTATTACTATTATTGGGTATTGAGTTGTAAAAGTTCTTTATATATTTGGCATATTAAATATTTTGCAATTTTTGTTTGATGGTTGTATGTTTTGGTATGGAGGAGGGACATTTGCTTCTCTTTTACTAAGCTGGAATAGAGAAAAATTTAGTTAGTTAAATTTTTATATACTCAGCTAGAAAGTCCTTAAAATATATAAAACACACAGTAACAATTTACTCATCAATCTGATAACGAAGAAAAAGAAATTGTTCATTTCTATGTCACTGACATAAAAGAGAAAGGTCAAGGGGAGAACAATGGAAATTATGGAAATTAAATACAGATTATTGAAAGAGATACTGCTCACTGATAAATCCCAATCAAGGTTTCCACACCCTGAACTATATCTGACAGCTTCCTCATTTAAATGTTAAATGTAAGTTTTATTTACATTTACATATTGACAGATTTGAGAAGTTGAAACTTGGAACATTTTTCATTGTGGTTATTTTGAGTGTTTCCTGAGAGAAGCCAAGCCTTTGTTCACAACAGGCCACTCATCTTTACCAGTTTCTTTTTTTTTTTTTTTAAAGATTTTTTATTTATTTATTTGACACAGAGAGAGATAGCTAGAGAGGGAACACAAGCAGGGGAAGTGGGAGAGGGAGAAGTAGGCTCCTGGCTGAGCAGGGAGCCCGATGCGGGGCTTGATCCCAGGTACTCTGGTTTCTCTTCAGGTCGCATAAATCTTTCGCCTTTTACCAGTTTCTTTTTAAAACTATAATACAGTTAATCTTGTTAGAAAAATTTGTCATAGTCATTTGTATCTCCCAGACGATGAGAAAAAGAGTCGACTTTGAATATCACTTGTTTCTATGTTGAGTATCACTTGTATTATCTATGTTTCAGTTAGAATCTTCTGGAAAGAAATCCTTATTTAAAAATCACGTTAAGGGGCGCCTGGGTGGAGGGCGCCTGGGTGGCTCAGTCGGTTAAGCAACTGCCTTCGGCTCTGGTCATGATCCCAGGGTCCTGGGATCGAGCCCCACATAGGGCTCCCCGCTCAGCGGGAAGCCTGCTTCTCCCTCTCCCACTCCCCCTGCTTGTGTTCCCTCTCTTGCTGTGTCTCTGTCAAATAAATAAATAAAATCTTTAAATAAATAAGTAAATAAGTAAATAAATAAATAAATAAAATAAAACAAATCAAGTTAAGTCCCAAAAAAGAGAAAATTGCAGCATTTCTGAAGGAGCAATCATACCTGACTTTTCAAGAAGTTCAATCACAGCTCTGGCCACAGGTGAGATGTAACATTCATGGGCATCTCCACGGACCAGCCTCCCCAGGTTTATGTCTGTTACTCTGAATTTGAAAAAAAGGAAAGTTGTAAGTCAAAACTTTGTCAAAACTCACTCATCTATAACTCACAAGTATCAATCCCAAATAATATCCCCATCAATGTTGGACAGATAGGCTATATTAAATCATTAAATATAAATTAAGGAGTGGGCAGGAATGAAGACCACGAGTTTCTTAGAGCAGTCCCTTGGGAAACTCTGCAGTGGCCCCTGTGGGTTGGGACAACCTTGGGAATTCTGGTTCTGCCTGGATAGCAGGACCAGAGCATAAGGCCATGCAAGGCCTCCCTGTTGCACCATTGTCATGTAGCCAAACTCACTTTCCTTGAGGGCATTTAAATCTCAATCAGTATCAAAATCCAGGACCAATCCTAGAAATCCGGGGTGACCTAGCAAGACGTGGGATTCACAAGTCTGATCCCCATTTAACATCAGTACTTACCTCCATGGTCACTCAGAAATAAAATCTGAGTGACCATGTACTTTTAATGGCTTCTGTGCTCTTCCTCATTCAAATCCAGGACCGAATGGTCCATAACTATCTAGCTGAAACCGACGGTCTCAATACAAGTTAGTAACAAAATGGGGACAGAAAAGTTTTCACAAAAGATTTGAAATTACACTTTGATACCTTCAGGTTCTGGATGTTTTCTCATTGATTAGGGCTTCTTCTCCTTTCTAGTTAGTCTAGTACTGGATCAGATGTTTTCATGACAACATTTCAACCTGTGTTTGGGTCTATCCTCGGTCTGAGGGCCCACAGAGGCTAGAGTAACGGAAGGAGCCTGGGTGTGTCCGCCAGGCAGCAGCCTTCCAATCCAGCTCCCATGAGACACACTGGATTGGGAGTCTAATTTTTCAATTTGCTTATAACCTCGTAACACTAAATACCTGATGTTCTTTTTGGTCGCAGTACAAAACATTTCCTATTTCCTTGAAGGAAAATGAGGTTTTTACTCTCTATCAAATCGCCCACATGAATGGGCAGTACTCCTTGTCTCGTAAAGCAGGTGTCACGCCAGATGTGAATCAAAGACACAATATTAGCACACCACATATTTATAGTTCTTCCCCTCTAATTTCAAATAAAACCTTGTGTTATGAATAAAAGTGCTTGTTTTGCTTTTCTCAACCGGCCTGGGACTAAGGAAGCATGGGGTACTGCTGGTGACTCAGGACTCTGGGGTATTTCTTTGGTCTGGCAGAATTTTCAAGGAAAACCTTATTTAGAAGAGGAAGGCTGGTCAAGGACTCCATAAGTCAGGCAGGAGGTTACCAAATGAATGTGACAATGTGAAGGACGTTACTTCCAGAAAGGCACCCAAGCCAAGGGCAAGTACCCATTGCAAAATATGTAACTTTCTTATACGGAATTTAAAAAGCCCTCAAATTCCTGAACTAGTTAAAGGATTTCTTCCACTCTTAATTACGGACACAGCTGAAACAGTGGAACTAAAAGGAAAAAAAGTCACAGTAGAAAAGCTCATTTAGCAATAAGACTTGATTTTTTCTTTTATATTTTCTCACCCATCCACATCTTTTTCTGGTTTCAAGGCATTGAGGACTTTGTTGCTAAACGAGTTCTCGGAGATCTGAAGGGCAAGGCCATGTACTCTGGTGTCTTCGTTAATCTTCAAGATTTCATCTATAATCTACAGAGAAAAAAAAAACAACCCTAAAATCAGTATTACAAAAATAAGACCCAACAGAAGAAGCTTTACATTAAAAAAAATAGATTCATAAAAATGCATCATTTCTTTTTCACTCCTTGTTGAAGACTTGCTGTAAAGCAGAATGAAGAAAGTCTATTTCCTCTTCTCATCATGTTTATAAAAGCTTTCAAAAGCAGCGCAGAATTTTAGTGACTTCTCAATCTTTCTTATTGCGCTACTCCCTGCCACAACAGAACCAAACCAAACCAAACCAAACGTTGAGTTAGGCAAAAGATAATTCCACGATTATACTTGAGTGAAACACACTGCCAGCTTCAGGGAGACCAGGAGGCACGAATCTCAAGAGTTCCAAACTGGCCCAGACAACCCTGTGTTTCAAACGCAACGTGTTCAACAAAACCTTCCCAACTGTCAACCCCAAGAAGCCATCACTCAAGTCCTCATGTTCCCTGGATCTGAATGGACCCAGAAAGCATTTCCAAAGGCTTGTGATTGATAAATTCGAAGCACAGATACCTCCTTTTTATAGGAAACACTAAAATAATTCACTATTTCTGAAAAAGACCAAAGTGCAACTTGGGAAGGTAATGTAAAAATGTAAAAGCTAATGAATGGCTAGGTGTATCTTTCAATAAGAAATGCTCTATCTCTCTATCTCTATTTTATGCCAGGAGATAATATATGGATTCATTTCACTTCACAATATTATTCGTTCATAAGTAAAAGAGATACCAGCCCACGGATATGGGTCTCACTGTGAGAAGTATTGCGTTACCACCTCTGTTTCACTGTCCAGCAAAAATCACTGTGGTATTTCTACCTGGTAAGAGAGGAAAACGCTGTTTGATACACAAAAACCAGAAAGAAAACTTTGTTTCATTTATTCACCATGCTTTCATTCATTCAACAGATATTGCATGTTTTGAGTACCTATTCTGTGCCAGTTCTAAGACAGGAAATACAGTTGTGAATAAAGTGCCTGCCCCCCGAGAGCTTATATTCCAGTGGGGAAGACATGAGGGAAAACGAAAAATAATAATGGTATAATCTCTGGAAATGGTAAATGATGGTAAAGAAAACTAAAGCAGGGCGCCTGGGTGGCTCAGTTGGTTAAGCGACTGCCTTCGGCTCAGGTCATGATCCTGGAGTCCCTGGATCGAGTCCCGCATCGGGCTCCCTGCTCGGCAGGGAGTCTGCTTCGTCCTCTGACCCTATCCCCTCTCATGTGTTCTCTCTCTCTCATTCTCTCTCTCTCAAATAAATAAATAAATAAATAAATAAATAAATAAATAAAAGAAAACTAAAGCAGATTAAGCAAGGTAAAGGGCTAATGGAGTAATGGCGGGTTGGGGGTGGTCGGAGGGAGTGACATCGAACGAGAGCCCAGAATGAAGTGAGGGGTCTGTGGTTACCCGTACCTAGGATGTGGCAGACGCAACAATGAAATCTTAATTAATAAATTAAGATCCTTACTCTTTTCCAACATAATAATACCACCACCATACAAATTTACATTTACTAGAATGTCAGAGAAAAATAGGGAATAGATGACTCCATCAAAAAATAAGTCAGGGAATAAAAAAGGTGAAGGGCTAGCAATACCAGGGGCAAACAACCCAAATGCAGACAATGGGTGTCCTTCTGCAAAGGGGCAACAAATGTCTCTGCATTTGTTAAGGCTGGTACGTCAGGGGTCAATATCTGTAATATATTACAAAGACAAGTGTGGCAGAAACGATTTGCCCAGATACAGTTTCCCTTCTTCTTCAGCAATAGACTCTTGGTTTTTAGGCGCTGTAATAGATGTTAGATCATTTGATGATTTCCACCTGGTGGAAAGACTATTATTTCCCAGCCTTCCTTGCTTCGTGGCCAAGCAATGAGGCTCAGGCCACTGGCATGGAAGCATAACTGAAGCATAACTGTGACTTTCAGGAAACTGCTCCTGAAGGGAAGAGACTGGGGGCCTGTCTTTTGTCGTTGTCCTTTCTTTTTCTTGCTGGTGACAAGAAGTTGTTGAACTGAGCCCCATGATCTGGGAAAACAAGGAAGGCTAAAAAAGCACCCCCACCCTCTATGTACTGCAAAGAACCAAGTACAGGCCCTAAAAATGCCCATTCACTGTCTCATAAATGATGAGGTGAGCTACTTGCCTCCATCTGAACAAAATGCTGAAAATGTTAAGTTTCCTTCCTTCCCCTAGGTTGCTAAACTTTGACCCACCCTTCACTTGGTTAGCAGACAATCCCTTCTGAGAAGAGTCTGGCCTCAGGGTAAAACATCTTCTGACCTGCCATCCCATCAAGGTCCTCTCTCATCCCACTTTCTCACACTGGGTTCTTTCTGGCCTTCTCTACCCCTCCCTGTAAAAGAAAAACCCTTTGGCCTACCTCTCAGAGGATTACAGATCTTATGGTCAGAGTATACTCCCTACTGCAATAATCCTTTTCAATTATGTCTCTCCTTACTAAGTCTGGATTTATTTGACACTGGCTAGAATGTGGATGTGATCTGCAGAGTTGAATCTGCCATTTGGATACGAGATAGTCCAACAGACGATAGAGCAGCAAGATCGAAGGAGCCTAAGTTTCTGGTGACCCTGTGATGCCACAATACCAGCCCGCTTCTAAACTTTACTTATGTATGAGAAAAATAAACTTCTGTGTTATTTCATATTCTGTTACTTGACGTTTTCCATCATGGACAGTCAAATCAAATCTTCACTGCCACAGCCCGTCTGAAGAAAGGCTAGTCACAGAAGGGCCAAATGCTAGCATGGCCCGTGCGCCAATTTCCTCACCACTACTTATGGGGGTGGCTGCTTCTCCCAGGCTTGAGATGACAATTGCAAAGGCTGTTACTCCCGGAACATCTGCCTGGAAAGGACGCTGATGACTATCTCCTTCTATTCCTTTGTTTTCTTAATAAGGCAACTGCGCCACAGGGAAGCCAAAGGAATGGCCAAGGACCAACAACCTGTCACGACAGGGCGAAACCAGAACTAGTCCTCCAGACCCCGACAGCCAGACAGTTTCCACTAGACACTGCTGCGGCGGCCAAAAAACACAACCCAAGTCACCAAGTCTAACTCAAGTCTTCAACAGAAACACGTATTAAGGGACAAACAGATCAAGAAGCATTTATACTAGAGGGAAAAGTGAACTCTTCCCTCTAAGAATTCAGCCACAAAGACAAGACTGATCTTTTCGAATGACAACTAAGAGATGCTAACAGGTATATTATGTCTAAAGAGGAAAGCACCCTCTGTTCAAGTGCCCGTGGTAGTTACCTCGGCTTCACTGCTATCCGGAGGAAGGCAAATGTGAGTGATGTTCAGACCAGCCTGCAAAAGGAACACAAAGTTGTTCTGTCACTGTGAGAGAATGTAACATCAAAAAATTAGATGAATTTGTAGAATTCGACAATCCTCACCTCCTCTGCCAAATTCTGGTTTATTTCCTGCATCAAGTTATCATCACCTGCCTTTGGAGATGGGAGTAAGAAGGAGAATGTAACAGCAACAAAAACATCTTGACAAAGCATGAAACGTAATACAGAGGCTAATTTTGTGATTATAAATTATCCAATTTATTAGAAAGAGAAGGAAATGCAGAATCTTATTGCTCACAGAAGGAGACTAATAGCTGGTATTTATTGACATATCAATTCTCAGCTTTCAAATTATGTTATTTTTAAAAAGTAATAGCCCTCCTAAGGCTCATGTAGCCACCCAGCCAGCACCCTTTCTAAAGGGTGTTTGGACACCACGGACAGGGCTTTAGGTGACTTGTCCGTACCTGGAAACCCATCAGCAAGCAGAATCCCAGGAGGTCCAGGCTTAGATCACTTTTCTTTCAACCTTCTGGCTTGCCTAGCTTTGTAGGGGATGTGGAGACAGACCCCAAGAACGCAAGTGACTTGAGCATAGCTCCACAGTCTTGAAAATCACAGCGCTGATGGCATTCCAGGCTGCTATTCTGACACATTACACGCGTGCCAAAATGAGGTGGCGGCCCACCTGCTGTGCTGTGTGAGCTTCCAGGCTTGGCTCATCTCCTGACTGCTCTGCACCTGTTACCCCATAGGGGTGCCAAGAAGGAGGGCAAACAGCACCAACTACAGTTGGGAACGAAGGGGCCACAGTCAAGAGATGTACATGAAATGCCAAGTCCTTCTGACATGTATTGACGTGTGGCCCTTCAGGCTTATGGCAGGCTTTACCAGGTTTCGTAGTAAGATCATCAAGCCTCCTTCTTCCACAGAAACAAAGGGGGAACTTTTCCCCTTATCACGTTCAAGTCACATCTGATAAGCATCTCTGAGCACATATGGACACAATAATGTCCTATGTAACACAACTGATGTGGGTGCCTACCTCCTAACCTCTCAAAGCAACTCACAAAAGACCCATTCAGGCAGGGAGGTAACTAACCAGTGACCTGGTAGAAGCAAAATGACCAAAGGAAGAGGGACATGACCATATTTTCATCTCTGCCCTCTCCTCCCTGTGAAGACCACTTTTGTGACAAGAAATGCCCTGGTCTTCTGCAGACAATTCTCTTCTACATTGAAAGGCATCCTAAAAGAGGAGCACGGAACCATGGTCTCAGCTTACCTGAATAATAGCAAGCACCGGCTTAAAGGTAGGGTTTTTTTCTTGCAATAAATTCAGAACCTCTTTTGAATTCTGAATGACTTCTCTGCATTGAGAAAGAAAACCAACACATAGTCATGTCTTTGTTAATGACTAGAAAGGACCGATCCAACACATATTCCTAGAAAGTTCGTTCCTGTAAGTGAAAATAGTTAGATGACATAAGGATGCGCTCCAAGCGTGGGAAGTGTGGCGAGGAGGGGCAGGATAACCATCTTGAAGTACAACACAGAGTAAACTGTGACCATCTGATTTTAAAAATAAGCAGAGGCGTGCAAACTAGATGTAAACAATTATTTTCCAGGGGTGAATTCTCTTGTATTTTCCAAGTTGGCTATAATAAAACCGTTGCGTTTCTTTTTAAATAATCCCCTTCCTCCACCCACATCCATCCCTAGGGGGTCCCATGGGGACTGCAAACATTGGTGGGGGGAGGGTAACAGAGACTGGGGAGGGGGCTTGCTGTCAGATAAACGGGTGGGTCACGGAAAAATCCTAGGTCCCAGAATTCAAAGGAATGTGAAGGGAGAGGGTGGGGAAGAAAACAGAGGGGAAGGGAGGGGGAGGTTGGAGGAAGGGTTGCGGGGGAGGGAGAGGAAAAGGGCAGTGGGGGAAGAGAAGGGTGGATGGGAACGGAAACAGTAGGGCTGCATCAGAATATGATACTCTCCCCAGGCCTCTTACGGAGAGAGCCCGTCAGTCCTCGGGGCGCCCCGCCACCCAAGTCTGCATTTGGACTTCCTAAAAGTCCCAGCAGGTGCCATCACCACCTGAGTACCACCGGTGGGAGGAGGACAAGGGGTGCCAGCCTAGGCAGGGCAGCCCTAGATGATGTGGTACAAGTCACATGCTCCTTCTGCAGTCTTCTGGGACGAGCGATTGCAGACTCCTTCACCCCCATCACTGTGACGTGGTCCTCACCTGCATACGAAGTTGGCTTTTCTTCTCTCATGATAACAGACAAAAGGTTCAGCCGAGGCAGTACCCAGGCCCTGTGTTAAGACCGTCTCTAAGTTTTGTTTTCTGTCTGACAGGGTCTTAACGTGCACCGAACAGCTTCCAAAAACTACAAGGTGACGTTCCGGCCACACAGTATCAGTAGTACATGGCTGAGGGCACAAGGGCATTGCTCAGTTTCGCCCAGTTGTCAAAGAAGCTGCTGAGCACCCTGGAGGAAGTTGCTCTTCCGTAGGCAGAGGAAAAGAGAGGGGTGCTCAGGAGACAGAAAGGCTTCAAAACTCAACCAGGATGAGCCTTCCCACCTGCCACTGGGCTACCCGAGGCAGAATAGGGAGGCACGCAACTGTACGTGGCCTGTGAAGATTTTCGTCTGTTTTGTTTCTAAACAGTTGGCTGAAGCAACTTAATTCTCCAAGAAAAAACTGTATTATTGTGTTGAATAACTGAGACTATGTGAAAGTTTACAAATTGCCTTATAGGGGCGCCTGGGTGGCTCAGTTGGTTGGGCCACTGCCTTCGGCTCAGGTCATGATCCTGGAGTCCCAGGATCGAGTCCCGCATCGGGCTCCCTGCTCGGCAGGGAGTCTGCTTCTCCCTCTGACCCTCCCCCCTCTCATGCTCTCTCTATCTCATTCTCTCTCTCAAATAAATAAATAAAATCTTAAAAAAAAAAAAAATTGCCTTATAAATGAACACTAAAATCTCCTGTCCCATAATGTGTGGCTGAGGGCCACATGCCACACTGTTGCCCTGCCTTTCATGACTGTTAATTTGGGCTGAGTGGGTCCTCCTGCCTGGTTCTGGAAGTCACTGGAGCGTAGGACCCAAGTGGTTTTTGGCAATGTGCTTGAGGATCACCTGGGCAGCTTGTAAGAAGCAAGGTTTCTGTGTCTCACCCCAGAAAGTCAGATTCGACAGGGCTGGGTGAGGCCCAGGAACGTGCATTTTCAACAAGGGAGCCAGGGGACTCTTAGGCTTGGGTAGAGGCAAAACAGCCATGCACCAGGACGTGGGCCTCCAACGAACCTGCATGATCAGTTTACTGAATCTCTAATCAACTCCAGTAGCCTCATCCGTGAAACAGGTGTCCTATGGCTACCCTAGGACACTAAAAAATACTCATTTGACACCAACAGTTTCCCCAAAAAACTGTTCATAGCCTTGACCACCACCCTCAATAGCGTGAAGGGACCAAACACTTCTATAAAAGCACAAACCTGTCACCAACAAAGCAAATAAAGCTGGCCAGTTCTCCCCACCTCTTGTAAGTGTGAGGTTTCATTCTTTGGGGTTATTCATGATTCCTACAGTGACAAGTAAAGTAAGCACGAAAGCAGTCACCAGGCTTAACAGATCTAAAAAGTAGCATAAATGTTTCTAATCAGAGATTTTCTCACTCCTGGGAGAAAAGCTGCCTTGTCAATTTCCAGCTAGAAGGAATGTGTGACTCTCCAGCCAGGCTGTCATGTGTCATTACTGAAGAAGATTGTAAGAATTTATAATGTAACTAGTAGATTAAAGTATCTACTACTGGAAAAGACTTCAATTACCTCCATTTTGACCTTTAACTTTTTTTTTTTTAAGATTTTATTTATTTATTTGACAGAGAGAGAGAGACAGTGAGAGAGGGAACACAAACAAGGGGAGTGGGAGAGGGAGAAGCAGGCTTCCTGCCCAGCAGGGAGCCCGATGCGGGGTGCGGGGCTCGATCCCAGGATCCTGGGATCATGACCTGAGCTGAAGGCAGACGCTTAACGACTGAGCCACCCAGGCGCCCCTGACCTTTAACTTTCTAATTGATGAAATTCTTTCTTCCAGCTTATCTCTTAACTCAGGCAAAAGACTTGGAAGGCAAAGCATCCCTAGATGGGGGGGGGGGGGGGGGGCCCAAACCACCCCCTCAAGCAATAAGGACTGCCCTGGGCCAGCAAGACCCCACCGGTGATTGACCCCAAGACAATGACCCGACCTTGACCGCCCACCTGCCTGTACCCACCAACCTGAGTCCCACATTTTCCTTATATAAACCTAGAAGTATTTTCAGCACTTGGGAGACAGTTTTTGAGATATTAGTCCACTATCTTCCTGGTGTTGGCCTCACTGAAATAAATTTCCTTCTTGTCTCACCCCTTGTCTCTCTGCCTTTGGATTTTGTCAGCGGTGAGTAGCTGAACCTGCTGGTCTGGGACCTTAGAGGCAGGTGCTCTCGCATGCCGGCGCCCAAGTTACACTAGCACTCACTCTACAACAAGTTGGTCTCCCTTTGGCTGGGAAATAATGTGTCCACTGGGCATAAGCCTGCTGGAATAATGACCTCATTTCTCAGTCTCCCTTGCAGCTAGCTGTGGCCACGCCAGAGTCTCAGAGGCAGCCGCTGACAAGGTTATTTAAAACTACCAATTTAAGGACATCCCTGAATGCAGAGCCCCTTTATTGATTTCAAAGGCAAAAGAGGTACCAGTGCACACACAGGGTTAAAATTTCCAAAACAGTGTCTTCTAAGGACAGCCATCAGTATTCGGAGAAATAGCCCAGGCTGAAAGCACCACAGAGCCGTTTAATAAACCTACAGCACTGGTAATTTCGTGGATACATTCAATATAATAGTAACAGTAGTATGGACACAACTGAGGATGGTTTGGATGACTGGGTACTTCCTATGAACACTTCCACTCATTTTCCTCTTTAAGAGAATTCAGAGCGTGAGCTGCACATGGCATCGGCTAGAGAGCGCATTTCCCGGTTCACCTGTGACTGGATGGGCTCATGACATTAACTGCTGGCCAACAAGGTTGTGAGCACTGGCCAGACGGAGGCGAGGAACGTGCGGCTAAGAGAAAGATCCACCAGCACCCTGGCCCCCTTTCCCTCGTGCTGGCTGGGAGGCAGGTGCTGGAGCAGTAAGCAGGCATCATAGGGTCATCATCCTACCTTCCCTGTCTGCCTCCCTCTGGACGCTAAGGTCCACAATACTTGGCGGTATCTTGATTAAAGCAGCCTAGCCTGCTTCCTACTCATGCACAGGGCTGATCTGGGAGCTCGAATCTTATTTGCTGTGTTTCACCCAATTTCAGATACAGAATGAAAGACATGTCACTGTTTTACAAACCCCTAAGAAAGAAAAACAAGCTGGCAGTTAAACTATGGCACAATCTTTTCTTCACAAATGGTGTATTCTGTTAAGTATTAAAAGAATTTTTAAGACTGATTTAGACATAGATATTTTGTTTGCCATAAACCACTCGTATGAGCATAAAAAGTAAAACTACCAAACTGAAACATTCCTAAAACTTCTTCACATTCAGGATATGACTCTTCTGAGTGACTTAAAAAAAAAAAAGTATTTAAGTAATCTGTATACTCAGCGTGGGGGCTCGAACTCATGACCCTGAGATCAAGAGACGTGCGTTCCTTGGACTGAGCCAGCCAGGCACCCCAAGTGACTTTTTTGATTCAAGAGTCCTTGACGGCAGTTTCTTTTTTTCCCTCCATTCAATATCACCCTCTGTGCCATCAAAGGTGTTAGTGATGTGGCATTTTTTGAAAAACCGTATCACTCTTGTCCCTGAGGTTTTCCTTAAATTCCTGACACCCATTCTGCAAGTTTTCTTGTTAGAGCTTTCTCAATTCTACCAGGTATCACTGGGCAGTTATCAGAAAAAAACAGAAATCATTTCATTTCCTAAAATAGCCCTTCCATGACTTGTTGATGGAAATGTTGGGGATTAATGGAGAAATTAGAGGTCACTACGCTTTTGAGGGAGCTTATTCATTCACTTTTCTGGCATATTTCATGAAATTAAAAAACAAAACAAAACCTAACATACACAGATTTGTGGATGTCTATCCTAGGTGACTCCTAGCTAGGCCCACCTCCCTATTTCCTCCAGTCCTCGGGGAATCTCTTGGAGGAAAGTTTTGTTAGATGATGCACATAAGTCAATTAAGTTACAACAATATGCATGGCCAGGTTCCCACAGGTACAGGCAATGACAAATAGGCGATGACTGTCACATGACCAACAGCAATTGTCAGACAATCAATTAAAGCCTAGTTTTGGAGATATTAAAAAATATGCCTTTTAGGATTAGCAGAGTATAGTGATGTCCACAACAACTTTTGAAACTGGTGATAATGGTTCCCATTTTGTATATGAACAGAGATCAAACAGCTTGCCCCAATTCTCACACCTAGGAAGTACTGGAGTCATATTGCAAAGCAAAGCACCTATTCCTTAACCATAATCCCATGAAGCAGTAATTCATTGTACAACACTTTCTCTTCTTAGTTTAGAACAGAAGGGCCAGCAAACTTTGACACACCAGGTTAAAAACAGCTTTTTGCACTTTTAAATGGTTAGAAAAGGGGCACCTGGGTGGCTCAGATGGTTAAGTGTCTGCCTTCGGCTCAGGTCATGATCCCAGAGTCCTGGGATCGAGTCCCACATCGGGCTCCCTGCTCCTTGGGAGCCTGCTTCTCCCTCTGCGCCTCTCTCTCTCTCTCATGAATAAATAAATAAAATCTTTAAATAAATAAATAAATAAATGGTTAGAAAAATCAAAATAATAACATTTTGTAGCATGTGAATATCATGTGCAATTCAAATGTCAGTATCCATAAATAAAATTGGCCTTTGTCATTAAAAAAATTATGAAAATGTTTTTTTCCTCACATAAAAGTGCCTACATAAATAGCTTCTATTTTGCCTACTGCCCTGCAAAACCTACACTATTTACTATCTAGTCCTTGGCAGAATTGCTAACCCCTGGCTTAGAATGCTCTAAAATAAATAAATAAATAGCCAATATTTGTGGAGGTCTTGCTATGACAGTTCCTGGGTTATGCATTTTGTACGTGTTCTCTCACGCGTTCCTTTCCGGAACCCTGTGAGGTAGACTACCACTCCCCCACGGGAGTGCAGGAATTGAGACTGCCGCCAGGGCCAGCAGGATCCTGACCCAGGCCCCCAAATGACCATTCTGCTCATCTCTAAGTCAGGCAATGAAAAGAACATTCATGAATACAATCTACAAATGAACCCAAATCTTGAGCGATGCATTCACCATCATGTCCCAAGTGGCCACCCTACACATGGCACTCTTTCCAGGAGGAAGCATCTAGCAGTGAACAAGAGACAAGGCCGTGGCCCCACAGAGCTTTCATTCCAGGGAGGTTGGGGGAGACAGACAATAAATGAAGAAGAAAGTGTCAGGTAGCCGTTAAGAGCTACCCAGAAAATAAGAGGGGGATGGGGTGGTGATTTCTGCCTCCCATACGGTCTTCAAACCCTGACCCACTAAGGGGAGCTCAGCTGTACCCTGGTGAAATTCTAATGACCCGAAGAGAGGCCTTAAGTACTCCTACATTCCGAAAGAAGACAAGATAGTTTAAGCAGAAGGCTCCTTAGAGTCATCGGCTACACCATAAAGGGCTTTGGGAACGGAGGAGGGAAAGGCAATTACTTTCACAAGGAGGGACAGAAGGAAAAAGGAAGAGGATGTGAATGGATGGAGAACAGCCTACTCAGTGACAAGGCAACCTGGAACCAGGAATCCTCCCTGGGGGTGGAGAGGCAGGTAAGGGCTTTCCCGGCACGTCCAGGTTTGTCCTGAGTGCCTCGCTCCACAGGTTTAGTTCCCCAGTGAACCCACTTCTCCAGGAAGGGCCATTCAAGGCTCTTCCTGCCCTCTCTCCCACTGAGGAACAAGGAGGGGGTGCGGGTGGGGGGAGGAGGGGCACAAGTGGCGTCTCCGGTGGGGGGGGGGGGGGGGCAGGAAAAGGCTGGGCCCAGAACTCCCGCAGGTCATCTCTGTATCGGGCGAGAACTTTCTATACGCAGCTGCGCTGGGGACTCCCGGCCCACCCGTGCAGCGATGGGGGGCACGAGTGGGCCCGACTCCTCGGCCGCATTCTGCCTGTTGTCAGGTGGGCCCGGCTCCACGTTAACGCGCCCAGAAAATGATCATGTAACTCAAGAAAGCACGCTTCCCCACCCGCAGGAGGCTGCGGCGTTGCGGGCCGCGGAGGACCGCGCAGGTAGGCGCGCGCGCCCGGCCAAGGCCGCCTCTCCCGGGCCCGGGGCCGCCTCACGTCCCCCGCCCGGCCCCGCCCGCGGCGCCCCGCCTCCTCCGCGCTCCCGCCCTCCGCCGCGCCGCCCCTTCCCCGCCCCGCCGCGCTCGGCGCCGTTGCATCAGAGCCGGCCGGGGTGGCGCACGTGGAGCGGGGCGCGCGGGCTGGGGGCGCGGCACCCGCCGGGGATGCCCGCGCCCGCGCCGGCCCGGGCGCCGCCGTCCCCCGCCCCGCACAAACTCCCGCCCTGCGATGCCCACGCTCCCCCCGTCAGCCGCCGGGCGCCCCTAGCAAGTTAGCACCAAGCACTCCGAGCCGGAGCCCGGCGAAACACCCGCGGGGAGATGGGGGGGCCGGGACCTCACCGAGACCCGAGCGCCCCGGCCGCCCCACCTCCTGCGGCGCCGGAGCGGCGGCGAGCGCCGGACACTCACCTGACGATCGAGTCCCGCGCCGGGGGCGCCTGGCTGCCCTGGCCGCGGCTGCTTCCGACTTGGGCGTCCCGCAGCCGCCGCTGCCCGAGCAGGCCCTCCCCGCCGCCACAGCCGCCGCCGCCGCCGCTGCTGGCGCGGCAGGGCGCTCGGAGGCGGAGCGGCGGGCCCGGGGGCTGCTGCGGACGGCGGAGCCCGCGCAGGAAGAGCGGCAGGCGCGCGCTCATGGCGCCGGGGCGCAGGCGGGCGCCGCGAGGCGGCGAGAGCGAGGGGCGGCGGGCCCTCCGTCCGGGCGGGGATGTGGCTGCGGAGCGCAGAGAGGCGGCGGCGGCAGGCTCCCCCGGAGGGTGGCGGGGCGGGCGCCGGGCCAGGGAACCGGCTGGCGGGTAACGGGCCGGTGTGGCAGGAAGGACCGGCACCTTCCTCCTCAGCCGGAGCGGGAGCCCCTAGGGGGCCCTGCACCTAGAGGCCGTGACGTGAAGAGGGCGGGGGCCTGCGGGACGCGGGCTGCTCCTAGTGGCCTGGCCCTCGGAGGCAGGCTTTCGGGCCCTCCGTCGCTGCTGGGAATCTGACGAGCGAAGAAAATCGCAGGAGGGTGGGGCGGCAGGGCGGCCTCTGGTCCAGCCCAGAGAGAGGGTACATCCTCCCTCTGCCCACGATGCTGAAAAACCCTGCCCCAGGTGGGAGTTTGCTTCCCGGAAGGCCACTTGGCCTACCCCAGGCTTAGATACCCGGGCTTGGATTTGTTCAGGCTGGAGGTGATCTAGCAGTGAAGGATGCGTGGGTCTTGGAGTTCAGAGGCTGACTTGTAGCCTTGGGCGAGTTAATCTTCTGTGAACCTCAGCTGCCTGCACAGTTAAAACGAGATTATCGATACTTTGTTTATAATCTTATCAGGATTATAATTCCCAAGTAAAGCGGGAATAAAACTAGTGCAAACCCCAAACACCGGTTTTCCAGTAGCTAAACACTGTACAAAGTACTGGAGTGCCATTTCATTTAATCCTAATAAATGTATAGATCTTTCTGGAGTCATGATGAGGTTACCCTCTGATAAACCGATCCTAAAATTGAAACTATGTAAATTGAAACTGCATCGAATACTCCTAACCTACTGAACATCATAGGTTGTTAGCCTAGCCTACCCTAAAAGTGCTCAGAACACTTACTGTAGCCTATAGTTGGGCAAAATCATCTAACACAGAGCTTGTTTTATAATAAAGTGTTGAGGGGCGCCTGGGTGGCTCAACTGGTTGGGCGATTGCCTTCGGCTCAGGTCATGATCCTGGAGTCCCGGGATCGAGTCCCGCATCGGGCACCCTGCTTGGCAGGGAGTCTGCTTCTCCCTCTGAGCCTCCCCCCTCTCATGTGCTCTCTCTCTCATTCTCTCTCTCTCAAATAAATAAATAAATAAAATCTTTAAAATAATAATAATAATAAAGTGTTGAGTATCTCATGTAATTTATTGAATGTTGCACTGAAAGTGGAAGAAAGAGTGGTTATATGGGTACAGATTGGTTGTCAGTATATGGGTTGTTTACCCCTGTGACCACGTGGCTGACTGGGAGCCTCCTCTGGCTACAAAACTCCCCAGAATGAGGAGAGCATACTGCTGTGTATTGATAGCCCAAGAAAAGAAAAAGTCTGGTTGCAGTTCCATATCTACTGAATGCTTATTGCTTTCACACCATCATGAAGTGGAAAAATCGTAAGTTGAACAGTTGTAAGTCAGAGACTGTCTGTAATGTGTTGAATATTGTCCTGACTTTCAACCTGGGGGAAATGGATCCAGAGAGGTCATTTGTATGGAGGTTTGCCTGAGTCAAATGATCATGTTCTTAATCCTTTTTTTTTCTAATCCCCTTTATTTATTTGAGAGAGAGAGAGAATGAGCAGGGGGAAGACAGAGAAGTAGATTCCTGCTGAGCAGGGAGCCCCATTCGGGGCTTGATCCCAGGACTCCAGGATCATGACCTGAGCTGAAGGCAGACAACCAACCAACTGAGCCACCTAGGCGCCCCTGGCCATGTTCTTAATCTTATACTATTGCCTGCAGTTTTCATTACAGGGTGATGGCCTCATTTGACACAATTTGACTTTGTAGGGTAGGGGAATACTTAACATTGCCACAACCCTGTGAGGTGGGTATTACTACCATTTTATATTGGAGGAAACAAAATCACAGAAGTTATGCCTTGCACAAGCATATGAATATTGGAAAGGAGACTTGAGTGGTTCATTCACCTGCTGCCAGTGATGATCTTGGGCAAATCATAAACCCTTTGGAGGCTTGTCTCATTATAAATTGGCGGCCATTCATTTAGCAGACATTCATTGGACACTAGTGAACATGCACAACTGGTCACCAAGATGAAAATCACCCAGTCCATGGGGAGTATATGGGAGATATCTGCATCTTCCTCTTAATTTTGCTGTGAATCTAAAACTACTCTAAAAAATAAAGTCTTAAAAAAAATTACCCAGTCTCTGTTCTCAGGAAGTTCCAATGGTAGCTCCGCCACAATAGTGACAATTAGCGGGGCGCCTGGGTGGCTCAGTCGTTAAGCGTCTGCCTTCGGCTCAGGTCATGATCCTGGAGTCCCAGGATCGAGCCCCACATCGAGCCCCACATCGAGCCCCACATCGAGCCCCACATCGGGCTCCCTGCTCAGCGGGAAGCCTGCTTCTCCCTCTCCCACTCCCCCTGCTTGTGTTCCTTCTCTCGCTGTGTCTCTCTCTGTCAAATAAATAAATAAAATCTTAAAAAAAAAAATAGTGACAATTAGCTACTCCACCTAATGAGTGCTGACAATAGTGATATTTAAAATCACAGTGGAGGGCGCCTGGGTGGCTCAGTTGGTTAAGCGACTGCCTTTGGCTCAGGTCATGATCCCGGAGTCCTGGGATCGAGTCCCACATCGGGCTCCCTGCTCAGCGGGGAGCCTGCTTCTCCCTCTAACCCTTCCCCCTCTTGTGCTCTCTCTCTCGCTCTCTCTCTCACTCTCTCTCTCTAATAAATAAATTTTTTAAAAAATTAAAAAAAATAAAATCACAGTGGAGACCACATATTGTATGATCCTAATTACAGGAAATGCCCAGAATAGGCAAATCTGTAGAGACAGAAAATACATTAGTGGTTGCTTAGAGCTAGGAGTAGGGGGAATGGGGAGGTGATAGCTAATGGGTACAGTTGATGAAAATGTTCTAAAATTAATGGTGGTGATGGTTGCACAAATTCATTAATGTTCTGAAATAATTGAATTGTACACTTAAAAAAAAAGATTTTTTAGGGGTGCCTGGGTGGTCCAGTCAGTTAAGCATCTGTCTTTGGCTCAGGTCATGATCCCAGGGTCCTGGGATCCAGTCCCACACCAGGGAGCCTGCTTCTCCCTCTCCCTCTGCCCCTCCCCCACCCCCGCTTGTGCTCTCTCTCCCTCTGTGTCAAATAAATAAATAAAATCTTTAACCCCCAAAATTATTTATTTATTTGAGAAATAGAGCAGAGCGTGCAAGAGAGAATACGAGTGGGGAGAGAGGGGCAAAGGGAGAGGGAGAAGCAGGCTCCCTGCTAAGCCGGGAACCTGACGCAGGGCTCGATCCCAGGACCCTGGGATCATGACCTAATGCGAAGACAGATGCTTAACTGACTGAGCCACCCAGGCGCCCCTGAATTGTACACTTTAAATGGGTGAATTGTATGATATGTGAATTCTATGTCAATAAAGCTGTCCCCCCCGCCCCCCCCCAAAAAAGGCTTGTGAGATAAGGTGTTGGGAGTGCTGGGGTTTAACTGTTCTGGAGGAGAATTGGAGACAACAAAGGATCTGATGCTTGAGCTGAGTGGTCTTTAAAAATATATATACTATTGGGCGCCTGGGTGGCTAAGCGACTGTCTTCGGCTCAGGTCATGATCCCGGAGTCCCGGGATCGAGTCCTGCATCGGGCTCCCTGCTCGGCAGGGAGTCTGCTTCTCCCTCTGACCCTACCCCCTCTTGTGCGCGCTCTTTCTCAAATAAATAAAAATAAAAATCTTTAAAATATATATATATAAATATACTATTTATTTATAATCTACAGAGGAGCATAAAGTAAAAAATAGAATCACTCATAACACTATCACTGAAACATAACAATAATTTCGATCTTATTTGAAATTATTTTATAAAATTGCAACCATACTATATATATGTATATGTATGTGTGTGTGTGTATATATATATATATATACATATATATATGTCTCTTCTTCACTTACTATATATCTGATTTAATGATGTTAGAAAGGAGAACATTTGAAAAAATGGTTATATATTATAACCTATTTTGTGGGTAGACCATGATTTATTTTACCTCTCCCTGTTGCTGGTTGTATTATTTCCAGTTTTCGATGTGACAGTGCTGCTGTGAATATCCTTTCATTCATTTGTCAGTAGCTCTGTAATGAGATCCTTCTGTGCGCTAGGGAAGAATGGGAAGAAGGTTGACAGGAAGGGGGTGGAGGGTGGGGGGTGTCACTGACCTCTCAGTCATCCTTTGCTGAAGCAGTTCTCAGAAAACTCAGAACTAGTAGTTGTTAAACTGAGAAAGAAATAGTACAGTACAGAGAAGTGGACAATAACATAACATCTTCATATTAAAGGGCAACCCTCCTGATCATCCTGAATTGCAAGGAAATTACAGCAGTTTTAGGAATTCCATGGCTCCGCATGGCACAGTAATTTCCAAAGAAGACTTCTCAACATTTAATTAAATAATCTGTATGGGTGGAAATTTGAATAGAAAAGATTAAGTTAAAAAGGTCACACCTAAGCCAAACTAATGAGGAACCACAAAACTAACTTGTTATTGGAAATCCCGGATATTGAAATCACTTAGACTCTATGTATGTGCAGCAAAGCCATTTTGGATAAGGCACTTTGGAGACTGTTCTCAGTCATCAGCAGAAGCCTATGGCGATCCAGGGCGCCTGGGTGGCTCAGTTGGTTAAGCGACTGCCTTCGGCTCAGGTCATGATCCTGGAGTCCCGGAATCGAGTCCCGCATCGGGCTCCCTGCTCGGCAGGGAGTCTGCTTCTCCCTCTGACCCTCCCCCCTCTCATGTGCTCTCTCTCTCTCAAATAAATAAATAAAATCTTAAAAAAAAAAAAAAAAAAAGAAGCCTATGGCGATCCATACCTCTGAGGTGACACTCTGTATCTGTAAAGTAGATGATATGTTCAAGTGTCATAATGTCCCGTACCTAGAGACACATTGTTTTTTTTAACTGAACTAATATATTTTTTAAAGATTTTATTTACTTACTCATTTGACAGAGAGAGAGTACAAGCAGGGGGAGTAGCAGAGGGAGAGGGAGAAGCAGGCTCTCCACTGAGCAGGGAGCCTGATGCTGGGCTCGATCCCAGGATCCCAGGATCCCAGAATCCCAGGATCATGACCTGAGCCGAAGGCAGATGTTTAACTGACTGAGCCACCCAGATGCCCCGAATTGAACTAATATTCTACTTTCTAATCTTAAATAATTTTAGGTGAAAATGAGTTGCTATTTTTAACATTG